CTCTAATTCTTTCCTGAGTGATTGTCGCGGAAACTGGCGAAGTTAACCGAATAGGCACGAGTGATTACCCTAATTCTTTCCATAGATCTTCCAAAAGAATACAAAGCGGCCATCGACACTGATAAAATAGTACAAGTAATTAGATATTTATCTGTAACTGTTGCAAAACACTCTTACAGTCGTTTGTCACGCAAATAGATCGTATATTATACTTAATGGTCCTAGTTTACCATTTTGAAGTGTAATATCGCATTTATTATTAAAGTCCATTCAGTGAAGGACTTTTCTATTTTGAAAAAAAGTTACAAATATAAAGCATATTTCCAATTGCCAAATTTTCGCTTTAAATCATGTTTAAAACCTGATTGTATATATATTAAGTGATTAAGTCATACATTTTCTAATATAGCCAATTTCATGAAGATGAATGAAATAAATTCCCTAACATAGAAAAGAATTTAAAGGAATGCAACGTCCCAGCTGTTTTAGTTTGGCTAGCTGCATCTAGGGTATGTGACTTTTAAAGATTTCGTGTGCAATATAAGAACGAAATGCCTGTGACTATCAGTCCAGGGAATGAATCAATCAAAGTGTACGTATATAAGCATGGCCTTATTTCTAAGAATATATGTATTACTTCACAGTGCAGTATTATGTTTATTGTACGGATGGCATAGTTTAAAGACATAAACTTAGGTTTTACGAGGTGAAGCCAATATAGGTTGATTGAATTTGGTGATAAAGTCAGACAAGATGCACCGATAAAACGAGAATATATGAACTACTTTCAATTAAAGCCCGCGTTGCTACATCAACAAACTGTCAATGGAAGATAAAATATATTATAGCACGATATATCTAGTCATAGCCTTATACACCAAAAAGTCTAGCCATCAATTATTTAAGGAATAATTACAGGTATTCCATGAAAATGAATCGAGTCTGTCAGTCGGTTAACTACCTGAGAATTTATTCTTCTTTTCTATGAATAAACAAAGGAAATAATTTATCAACTATTGGTAAACAATATTATTAATCATTTTCCGTTAATTTCATTCCATTATTTACCTTGTAATCTTATCTTAAACGAATGCTTAATAATTTACAAGTTTGGTAAATACACCGACTGATCGATACATCCCTTGAGAAAAACGGCAAAAACTGTCTATGCTGTTAGAAAATGAAATAATGCAAAAATCGAATGGAGAGGGAGGTGATGTGGGTGTAGCATATTGTTGCTGCGTTCCATTTTATTTTATGACATAAAGCTCTTACGTGGATGCGTACTTATTTGAAACTTCTTAGATTCTCTTTCACAAAAAAATATGACTTAAATTTAAAGATATGAACAATACAGGCAAGTTTGTTTGTTGAATTAACTGCGTGTGGACTTATTGCAACAAAGTTAATAAACATATCTAGAACTTGAAATACTTAGATGTTGTATTAAGCCCACGAAATGATTCAAGAAATTAAAGGGACTACACTGAGTTATTGTTTTTTTTTAACATGGCGGGACTGGAAATATTCTTCCCATTCGATGTATGTCTAGACCAATAACATTTGTGCGAATTTTCAGATCATTCCCTATCCCAGTTATTTTTTTTTCAGAATCGTCATTTTATTGCGCGAAATAACCCCAAAAAAGAAAAGCGTTTCAACGCTTTTCACCTAAATCGGGCTTATATCGCACAAGAATTGATTTTGGAGATCGTTCCCTTACAATTAAGTTAATTAATTGCTTCTCTTGATTTATTTAAGAATTTTGAATTTTATGTTTTTAGACTTTTTAACCTCAGTGGAGCTCCCTTTAATTATTTCATTTTTTTTATGAATTTCAAATGATGAAATTTCTTTAAACTGTGCAAGTACCTCATTTTAGTCATATTAGTCATAGTTTCCGTGACAACACAGCTAAAATCCAAAGCATGGTTACAATCTGACCACATTTCTTTATATAAGATAAACAACACTTCCAAAAACTAACAACAAATAAACAAGACAATTCATAATCATACAAAAAAACGCTATGTGCTTTTGTAAAATATATTAAAAATGAATCAAACATAATCTAAAACAATATTTAGTCAGTTTTTGAACCGTTTTTGAACCTTTTAAAGCTTTTATAATCCCCAAGAGGAACTATTGATTAAAAACGTAAATCACCCAGAACTATTCGTAAAATATTATCTTAAACCTTTCTGCAGTAGAATTCATAAAGATTTAAAGGTAAAAAACTGATTATCGAGCCAACAAACTGTCTGTACGATTCAAATCGCATGAAAAGGTCAAATGTATGTCAGTATATTAATGTATTAAATGTAACTTATGTCTTGGAAGTTTATAACTGTATATTTCACATAGTTGAAGACTTTGATTCATTTTGAAAGAAAAAAAATGTTTTATAAATTTATTATATTCATAAACTGACAAAAAAAATGGATACTAGGGCAGTATGCCATGTTAAGAAGACTGGTTAAGATAATTGGTTAAGGTACAAACAACTTGAAAAATGCGCGTCAAATGGAATAATGGTTTGAACCCCATCAGGGGCAAGTCGTTGTTTCTTTGAGAAAGAAACTTTACACCCATTGCTCAGTACTAGTTGGTTCTTTGAACGGATTTGAAAGTGTTTCGCGAAGCTTATCAGCTTTATAAGCTTCCAACACAATCGAACTTAGATAAATGTTTTGAAGTAGCATGCTTTTTAAGTACAGTCGTATAATTAACTTCGCTATTAAAAACGTAGTTAGGAGTTAAATTATGTCATAGTTATACTATATGTCAGCGCGTCTGTTATTTCCTTCGTACTCAAAATATCTCGACCATTTATGTTTATATATAAAAGCTGAACATTATCCAATTGAACCGAGATTTCACCGTCACCATGGTATTTAACGCTCTCGGACTTTCTGACAAATGTTAATGTATCGCAAGTGTAAACCACTTTTCAATAACAAATCAATCGGACATTTAAAAGTTTTAGTCTCACTTATTTGTGAAATATATTAATGAATTTTAAGAGATTAAAGTTAACAGTGAGGGGTTTTATGAATGCTGTGACCTTATTTATTTGGGCACTGAGATAACATTCCGAACGTTGCCAAGTTCTCCACGAACAGGCGTTAATACATATTGAGTCTTTAAGTCGAAACCTATTCAGCGGTGTTTATTATCTAATAAACGACTTTTTAAAAGCTTTACAGATAATTGTCTACACGGATACATTAACTATTCATATTTCTTACATATTCAAAACAGCGATCTAGTATTAACTTAAAAAAAAACAAATGAAGGGAGTATTTGTGTGCGTGTGTCTTGAATGATGTAATATGCATTTCCACTTCCATTTGTGATCATCTTTAAATACAAACGAGAAATATGAGTTTCTTTCATTAAACTTCAAACTTAAATGGAATAGGAACCAAGTACATGTAGGATAATACAGGCGTCAACTTTTGAATAGCATTTATTCACACTTTCAATTTATAATTCAAACATATCTAAATTAAGCACCTTAAAAACTTCTTAACTTTTAAATTAAAGTCAACACATCTCCCTCGCCCGCTCTATCAGCTTTCACAGAATGAATTGTTTATTCAACATAATACACTTCCAAGTCGGAGCAATTCGATACAATTCTATTTGAATGGAGAAAAAGCGAAAATTTATTTATCATACGTTTGTAAATTTAACAATAAAATGACGCGAATTTGCTACAAATACCCAATACCCAGTGTAAATACAGTAGCTTGGCACATGAAATAAATCATTACGACTGTCTATTGTTAATAGTGACAAACTTTGAAGCATTTTAGTGGTTCAATAATACCTAAGTCATACATGAATTTACAGTTTACCATACCAAAGTGTCTAATACATTAACATGTACTTTTTAGACGTGTTACAATCAAGTATACACATAATTAAGCTACCCAATATTTTATATTGTCACAAATGAGTTTACGAATTTCTTTGCCTACTGTCTTTTTCTCAACTAAAGGATAATAGGTTGACATTTGTGTTGTATTAAAGAAAGAACCTCAAAACTGTTTTAGACAGTTTAAAAGAAGGATACCACCCTTTAAGTATAATATAGCTGTTCTGTTACAATGAACCTCTGGCTGCTGGGAAGTAACCTCTGTATTGCGATATATATGAACTATGTATATATAGTATTTTACTTAATGCTTTTAGTTGTAAAAAGAAAACGTGTAAATAGACATAATATATATCTAGTATTTAGTATTTAACATTCTTAAACAAAACTAACATAACTTTCACCATCGATGTAGAAGGTTGTTAGAAATAACTTTAAATGCACCGTACGTAATTCAATATGTTTTAACAAAACCGTCAGCACTGGATCCATTAACCCCTTATCATCTAAAACAGTTTTAACTTATATTGATATATTGAATATTGTTTAATCAGCAGGGATTTATGTGTATGTATTGCGTGTAGTTGACAAACAAAGTCGATTATTCAAACTGTACTAAGTACTGGATATTTCAAAAGAACGCTACCTTAAAAAAGAAATTGAAAATAAACTATATTTAGGCAATAGACATTTATAAAACAAGAAAAAATTAATCAAGCATGCTATTTTAAAGAGTTTTAAATTTGCCAAAACTAATGGTGCGACAATTTCATTTTTTGCTAAATTTTCCAATTAAGTTAAAAATTAAACACTCTATTTTGACTCTTTTGGAAAAAAAGACTTAATTCGATTTAGACATACTTGTATATCTTCAACAACCTTTAAAAGCCTCTCAAACGCTAGTTAATATTTGCTTTGAGACCTTTAATTTTACCATGGTCATTTAAATACCCCCATTATGACATCGATACGTCAGTCAATAAGTCATTTAAATTTAATTGGATATTTAAGAAACCCGAGAGCAAAATCGCTCATAAAATATATATAATTTGAATAACCAATTTCCTAATTATTTCTAATTAAAACATTACCAATTGTAACTTATTAAATTTTTACTCACGAGAAAGAAATCCCTCTGCTATCAAGCTACCGTCTCGTCGCTATGAAAATGGAGTCGCGTTACCAAGGACTAAAGTATCCACTCACCGTATTTTGCACTTCCGTTGCAATGTTAGCTTAATCCCCTGACATATCAAAATGAACGATTTCAATTCGACATGGAAACTGTATATTATAATTCAGATTTTGAAATTATGGTTTAAAATCATTTTAAATTAGATAAAAAATATATATTTACCTTAACACACAAATCGAATTGAAGCTACCGTAAAATTCAATATAAAGTGTATAATATTCCGATAACCCAGTAGTTAAGTTATAGACCATGTATATACTGTATATATATAACCGATCATTCATTCGGCAAGATAATCCATAAAGCTTACGTATACATTTTAAGTGTTTATTGTATTATGTGTATTCGTATTAAGATCATAAATGTATTGTAATTTATTTCTGTCATTAATTCAAAAAAATGCTTTTTATTTAGTGTGAAATAGATCTACGCACTGCAATAAAATTCCTTCTTAAAAGGAAATTGAAGTTTCACTGCAATAAAAGTTTGTTAAGTTTATCTATAACTTTTTTTTCTTTTCAATATCAAGTTTGATTTGAATATATAAAAACCTTCCTTAATATTTTAGCAACAACTTGTTAAATACACTATTATTATTATTAATGGTGCATTTGTAGAATAACAATAACCATAAAAATTTAATGCACTTTGAACTTATCATATAGACACCTAGTGTAGAATGCAATGATAGTTACGTGCATGACGTCAAGTATGACGTCGGCGCGTATTAATCTAGGTCGCGTCGTGTGTAACGTTTTTACTTCATTAGCGTTAATGGATATTCCTTAATCACATACCTTTTGCTTTTGCGACTTCGTGAAAACAGTATTGCACGGCCGGCCGTGCATATATTTTGGCATGACGTCATGAGCGTTATGCAAACATAGCGTAAAACGCGCTAAATGTAAGCGTTACACTATAATTATATTATTTTTATACATAAAGGCGTCAATGAAAAGGTTTTTCTTTTTTACCGTAAACAGTTCTTATTTTGGATATTTGATAAATAGAATGTCATATTCGTGTAGCTCCATTACTTAATCTGATAAAATAATATTATACTCGCAAGAGGCTGGCATAATATATATTGATGCAACTCGTTTAATAAATTCAGTATTGAACCTACACTCATTCAAAATATCCTCTATTTATGGAACATTTTATTTAACAAAATACAACATTTACTCTCTTTTTTTCCTTGCGTAGAATTAAATATTCTGTGATTTTTAACAAAATTTAGTCACTTTAAAAAATAATAGGATAAAGGGAGACTAATGTATTATAATAAACTTGAAAATAAGCTTTAGTCATTCCCCTTGTTTTAAATTTTGAATAAATGCCTTCACTCGGAATGGTTTCCGCTGGCCACATATAGATCACCATGAAAGATGAGTTTTCTAATTTAGAATTAGATTAAACATTGTTAAATATTTGATAAAAGAATTGAAATGGCCAGTAACCGTTCTACATTTCATCGGTAGTTATCCATGCCTTAATTTGCATGATAATATCTTATAATATAGGTATATGTTCACGATAATGAGGAATATATCCTTTTAAAGAAGTTGAACAACAACAACAAAATTAACAATGTCAGCACTAACTGGTGTAAAATATATTCAGGTTTATAACCGTCACGAACGGATGAAACCTCAATCAAAATACATGTACACATGTGATTCAAATGAAATCATGTGCTTCTTTTTAGTTGGTAAGAGGGGAATCGAGTTCGTTTTCCCTGTATGTGTAGTCAAAGGGAGAACTATTTGACCACCGCGCCCGTTCTAAACTGCCTACTTTGGACGGACAGTGCTTTATTTCAAATGGACAAAAAGTGCTGTCCATATTTTAAATAAACATTCGGTGAATATGATAAATAGGTTAAATTTTCTTCGTGCAGGAATGATAACAATAAAAACGCAGTGCAGTGAAATAATGTGTTATTCCCATTTGTGCACAAAGTGCTTAAACTCGCACTTAGTCCATCGCGCGGGACTCAACTGAGGGTTTTTTTTTTTTTTTTAAATAAGGGAAATAATTAATATTTCCCAGAGATGTATATATACCACTTGATGTAAGTCTGGACCAATAACTTGTGTTCAAATTTTCAGATCATTCCCGCACTACGTTTTTTTACCAGAATAATTATTTCAATTGTGCGAAATGACCAAAAAATGAAAAACGTTGTACATAACGCTTTCCACTCATTCCAGACTAAGAATTGCACAAACAATCGATGTTCAATTCAATTCTGAGTATGTTCTTTGTTAGCTTTTGCAGACATTTCCCTTTAAAATGACTTTAAACTTGTTCTATGTAAGAATTTCAACTTTTGTGTTTTTAGGCTTTTTGATATCAGTGGAGCTCCTTTAATTGCGTTGTGCCTGGACAACCTTTCTTTTAAACATCACCACCTCATGAATTACTGCTTCAAAGTTGATGAAAATTTGTCGGGATGTTACTTACGTGAAGTCTTATCAAAGTTGTTCCACTAAAGCCATTGCTTGTAGAACTAGGGTTGCCATCTTTATAAGATGCTCTTGGTCAAATTCACAAGACCCACAGATGTAATATTTGGTACATGTATGTATCAGTAGCACTATCTTGTGAATATCTACCAATAGGAGCTGTCCGTGACCGAGTGGTTTATGTAGTTGACTTCAAATCAATATGTCCCTCAATGTTGTGGGTTCGAATCTCAACAGGGACTTTAATGCTTTCTTTTATATTAGGAAGCTATCCTGTAGTTTTCGGAAAGTCAGGGTGCGGTTTAAGACTGATTTTGCAGTATTTTATCACCATATTTCTACTGCGTTACTACAACGCTGTAAGGGCTGAATTTGCAAATATGTTGACCACTTTTTGGTTATTGTCTTGGATTGTAAATGCCGATTGCAATATGTAAATTACTTTATTTGTCTAACTAACAATATTTTACTGTCACATATATTTCAAATACTTTCATGAAATTTAACATGAATCAGCAGGCGTGCTGCTTTAAAATCCACTTATTCATGCCGCGTTACGGAAGTGAAAAGGTGATGAATTACGGTAATTCGTTACAGAAATGATATGTAACAATAACACGTTTTAATGAACACGTTTTCATAACTATTTTATCTCAGTTAAGAACATTACATCATCAAAGCAAACAATCCGAACAGTTTGTCCATTTCTGAACGCCAGGGTGAGCCTGGCAATGACTCCCCGTCACCCTCTCTGGGGACCCATTCAGAAGTGTAACTACTTTCTTCTTTTCTTACCATAGAACATCAGGTATGAGAGGCAGGGGAAAAAAACGATTTTGACCAATCTTGTACATAGCATGCAATAAATATTATGTTTTTCCCTCGTGTGATCAGATAAAACCTAGAACTACCTTTAGAATTACATAAATTGTTGTTTTGTATTACTTTCTTTCGTTTTTTTTTCCCGTGAAATATGGGACGTAGTTATCACTCAGTAAGATAAAAATCCATATTTTCACGAGCTACAACGTCTCAACTGATACTAGTATATTTGGTACTTTATATATGCTTTAAGAATTTAGATAAAGAATATTTGATCCGTGGCCGTCTAATATCTCTCCCTGGCATGGCAACCGATCATACGCTACCACAACCCATTGCCCTATAAGGTCCTCATATACAAACTATCACTTTAGTAAGATATCTCGATAATGTCACCTTTAAAAATAAAATTGTAATAGATCTAGATCTACTTTTAAATGACTGGAATTGACATGGGCAACATAATAGAAGGCATCAACTTCAGTAGCTCTTGAATCTAGTTATATAGATCTATAACTTATTATAATGATGGTGTGATGATCTCCTTATTATTACTTTTTATCAAAGGACAGCCAGAAAAAAGTTAATTAATACATATATCTTATCTAAGATATTAAATTGTTTATGATTACAAATCTTTATAATAATTACAGATTATGATGTGGGGTGTAGATAATATCTTAGAATGCAAGTTGAATTTTCCCGCTGGATAAACTGTATGTGACGTGATGACGAAAGTAATCAAAGCACAGAAGGCGCTGAATTTGTTTGGGTCTCAGAATGTCAGAAATGTGAAGGTTGTGGGATTATAAAACAATTTTGTTTTTTGTATAGTGCAACCAATGCTTTCCAGCGTTTTAATTGTAGTAGATTTGCTATAAGACTAATTGCAACACTGATATTCAATCCAATGTTTATTTGACTTAAACAATTTGAAAAAAAATGATTTGTCTCAACTGGGAATTGAACCCAGGACCTCGCGCTTCCTAAGCGAGCGTGCAAACTCCTCGGCCACGGTGACTGAAAGCATTATTATTCTTAATTAGGGTTTGTGACGACGCTAACTGTTGTTTAACACTTGTTTAAATAATCATGGCGCTTTCTATAAGCATGTATATCTATAAAGAATAAAACAATATTAGAAATCTTCGACCATTTGGGAATTATTTTGCTGGAATGCGCCTGTCATGTGACCATATTTACGCAGTGATCTCCACTGAATTTTTCGGCCTTAATGTTACATATAAAGGGAAGTAACCGCTTCAAAAAAGCGGACTACATTCGGTATTTGCAATTAATAGCATTAGAGTCTGAAATTTCGCTACCATTATTTATTTGGTCTGACGACCCAAACAAATAAAAACATCAGTAGAGTACCTTCTGATCAAACATAGTACGTGTCTACGGTACGGAAAGTAGGTCAACGACTAAGAGAGACGCTAAAACTGGAAAACTAAACGTCTCAGAGTTATGTCGCTCTTTTTTGCTTTTTAAAACATAGTTTCTTTTCCTTACTCTGACAATAACAATTAACTCGAAAGTTCTCTGATTAAAGGTAAAAAATGTACATGTATGCTATAGTTTGCAGACGTTAATCATTGAATTAAATTACAATGCAACCCACAGGGATTCTGTCATTTTTACTCTCCCACTATATATATATATATATATATATATATATATATATATATATATATATATATATATATATTAATATATTAAGAATAAGAAAATAATGACAGATTTCCCTGTGATACAACCTGGTATGTGCATTTATTAAAGGCCCATTATG